ACAATAGTTCTATTCATACAAAAATCAAGTTCTATTTTAAAATTCTATGGATTTTACCCCCTGTCTTTTCTTCATCTAAATCTTACTCGTCTCGCTCTGACCATGACTTCTGAGTCCAGTTAGAAGCGCCAGATGTTTCGTCCTCCACAGACAGAATAACTTAAACTGCATCAAGTTTAGGAAGTTTTGTAGCTACTGTAAGGTAAAACAGCATTTTTAATCATCTCAAGTCTTCTAATTGCGAAAAGAGCATCGAGACAGAAGACGGCGTTCAAGTTCACAGAGCTAAATTCTGCTCTCGGTTACCCTGATGTGAACCATGTTATTGATTCCGACGGCGCCGCTTCAGATGTACACCAGTGTAACTGGGAGCAAATTATGGGTCACCGTGTACAAACAGCTCGAGCTAAAAGTATAACAAAGACTGCATTGTGCTGTGCACAGCAAGCCAATAAACGAGCTCAAAAGACACCTAGATGTGTTCCTGGAAAAAAAAAGGGGGCAGGGGTCTAAGTGGTCTGGTGGGAAAACAGGAAAGTGAGATTAAGATAAATCAAAACAGGTTTGGCACGCTGGGCCTGACAGCCCCTCCTATTCTTATCTCTTTGGCAGCTTTTAGAACATATATGGTTATAAAATCAATTGTTACTTTGCACTGAAATACACTTACTCATTTCAGAAGCAGAATGCCACCACAACACACAAGACTAATGCTGTTAAAATGTTTTGGTGGGGTTTTTTTTTAAGAGGGGGGGGCGGGGGGGGGGGGGGGGGGGGAGGAATGTCTGTCTTTCTTTTTAGCCTCATATCCATTGTCTGATTATCAGCCGAAATCCCCATGCCAGGAAACTGCAGCATCGTCGAGTCCTTCTGATCAATTCTGCAGCTTCACCCAAGGGTACTGAAACACACTTAAACTTGTAACAACTGCTTTTATGTACACGCAGTTACTAAAATACACCGCTCAGGTCAGTGAGGGCAATATTCAGGTGGCTAAAGAAGACAAAGAGCAGCAATTTCTAGTACTCACTGAATCCCCTGAATCCCCCTCACAAACTGATGAGGCAGCTGCCAGTTTGCACAACACAAACCTAGTCCCTGTAAGGCACGAGGAGGAGACCTCTGGCAGAGCAGGATCGAAAGGAAGCCTTCTACCCAGCCTAATGTTACTATTAACACTTTGGGCCATTGCATCAAGCCAATTTTTCTGTTTGTTTTTAAAATTTGATAGAAATGTCACTAGTGGAAAAATTAAGTAAAGAGCACTGGTTAGCCACAGAACTGGACACACCTGGCTGCAAACCCACCAAAAGAAACTGACTTCATTAGGACTCGGGACAGCAGAGTAAAATTTATATCTGAAATATGCCTGCTCCAGTAGAATTTGCTGAGGCCACAGGCTCTCTGTGTGTTTTTACAGCTGTGTCAAGTTTTGGTTTCTGACTCTTGCCGACATTCAGGAGTGCTGAAGGAGCTCAGGCTAACAGGTCCCAAAACTTTGTAGCTGAGATTTAGATCTCAGCAATTTTAACAACCAGGTTTTGAAATAATACAAACTCCATTTGGAGTTGGAGCTGATGTAAATTAGTAGTTAAAATGCCTTACATTCTATCACTTTCGGCTCCAGTGAACTTGTATATTTAAGAGCAGATGGTATATTTTAATAAACCATCAATATCAATTCAGGAATATAGTATCCATTTTCAAGTGTTGGAATCGTTGCTGGATATGGAAATGAGCTGAAGAACTGCAGCTTCGTCTGTCAACAAGCTAAATTAATTGCATCCAACTAGCAACTTCATACAGGTGCTCTGTCACTTATACCACACGTACCAATCGGAGTTGAATATTGATCTTTGATACCCTGCATGAGAGAAAAAGCAGGGAATGGAATTTCCTAACCTCCTAGAAGGTAAGCCGATGGTAACTTAGTGCCCTAAAGGTATTCAGTAAAGTTTCTTTTCATTTAACTTCTGAGAAAGGCTCAGATTCTGAAATTGTAATGCAGCAACAAGGAACATTAATGTCACCTTCTTTTTATCTAATATTCTTATGTTGATATATTTAACTATCTTCCCTTGGAGGTAGAATATATACTGATTGCAGGACTAAATTATTGGAAAATAAATAGCTGTTATACGTATTCCTCAGTCAGCTCACAAACCCTTTGTCATTACCTCAGCTTCATTTTAAAAGAACCATTAGGGATAAATACATCCAGACCAGTAAGTAGAATCTAACACCCAGGGTAACTGCCCTTTATTTATTTACCACTTAAAACTCCTTGCAATTGCTAAAGCTGAGATGTGAGAAAGAGTTCTATCAGGGTACATCTATGTGAAGGGGAGGAAAGTAAGTGAAGAAGAGTGGAAAAGTATGGAAGATAGAGGAACTGCCCATGCAGGGGCACGGGTGAAGTGGTATATTATGTGCTATGACTAGCACCGAGGAAGGAAAATAAAGCAATGACAAGGAGCAAGGGAGCAGCTGACCTCTTCAGACATCCAGTGCATTAAATTCTTTTCATCTAACACAATAAATACTACGAGAAGAGACTAAAAAGTTCATTCATCTTGACAATATAACGACTGAAAGATTAGGAATAATTAAAAGATGGAAAAAACCCCACATCACGATAAGATTATGAAAGCCCTATGCCTTCACAAACATTATGGGGAAGAGAACCGTCCTAATTTCCAAGTTTACAATCTAGGAGAGCTCACTATGCTTTCTTACACGCCCTTAGTGCCTGGTCTGGTTAGCTGTTACCTCAAGAGTTCACGTTCTCTCACAAGGAGTCTCATTAAAATCAATGGGCCTCTGTGCAGCAAAACTATATTAAATATACACACAGATGTAACTGTTTCTGAGATCAAGCCTTTAAATGTGTACATACTTCATTTAAGCATCAACTATTGCCACATAAAAGGTATGTTAACACTAGGTTACAGTCAAAAGTAGATTGCAGGAATCATACCATTGCAAACTAAGCATGCTCATTACTACATTGCATGATCATTATTACAAAGACTGCGAAATTTAAATTCAAGGAGAAACTGAAAAGATGCCTAACCTGCCAAGGCAGAGAATGAATGACACTCAAAAACTTAACATCTCCTTAGAGTTGCATCACACAGCAACTATACCATTATAATACGCACATATTAACTTTTGAGGCTCCAGACTGGATGAAAAAATAAGGACACTGGGGTTTTTTTACACTTTGGGAAATCCTGGGGAGCAATGGAATAGTTCAGTTTGCAGAAATGGAAACCCTGTGCCTTCCTTTACAAAGAACTGACTGTAAGCACTATCTTTTTTTCCCTTAGAGTTTACAAAAAAAAAAAATCTCCATACAGGTCTAACTTGAACCATGCTTCACTTTTGAGTTCTGCATGCTCGTAAGCACGCTTTGCTTCTCTTGGCTGTTTCCTGCTGCTTCCAGACCTGCAAGGAAAACTACAAGATGGCATTTGAGGTTAGTTCATATAAGGCAAAATTAGGGTCAAAAGGACAGAGAAATAATATTTTGTTCCAAAGCCGGGTTCTCCCTGTACTAACATGGAATCAAAAGATCCCTGAAGAGATTTTGGGGGGCTTTCGGAGACGGAGTGTTTGGCTGGGGTAGGGTTGGGGTTTTTTCTGCTTTTCAAGAGGAGCAGCCTTAAATTTACACCCAGAATGAAGACCTGAGCTGTGCCCAGTTCCTACAGAAGGCAGAATCAACCACGGATATAACACGGCAGGTATCAGATAAGGACAAAAATGTGTAAGCTATTTCATTCCATCTTTTTCTCTGGTACTATCATCTAATTTGTCTAGGCTCACTCCCACTGCTGTATGGCAGCTGACCAGGAAAGTGGAGATTCCCATATTGGAATTTATGTAAGTCCATTAATGTAGCAAGAAATTTTAAGATGCCTGAATTTAGATTTAATCCAGAGACGACTAAGAGGATGACTTGTCTTTAAAAGCGAGCTGCAACATCGTAAAACTACGAAATTCCCAACAGAAATTGGGGGAAAAAGCTATTGCTGATGGAATAACTGAAGTTACACCAGAATCAGCACCTTCTAAAACCACATACAAAATAAAAGATCAGAGAGAAGCTTATTGAATTACTAATGTGATTGCGTATCAAGTCCCAAACCACTGGTTAATTCCTTTGTTTGTCACCAGTGGGAATACCCCAGCAGCCTCTCCTTTGCTTATCTGGCTGACAGCTAAGACCTGACGATACGTCATTATCGCGATATGAAAACTGTCACTTCTCTAACAGCCTAATTTATTTTAATCACAAACAAACCTCTATTCATAACTGAGCAATTCTTTTCTTTTTCCAAAACATAAGAGATCTTTCCGAGTCTTATTCTCCCACGAGAAGCACTCTGAACATAGGCATCCTCAAGTGTACCAGGTCTCCTGTCACCACTGTGATACTGGGGTTATGGAAACTCTCTCTTACTTCCACTGCTTCTGCACTGCCTTCTCTGGAGACTATCACCAACACAAGGCTGGAGAAATGCACTTACAGACTTTAAGGCCAGACATTACCGTTACAACTAACTAGCACAACCTTCCTCAGAATAGGCCAAAGATCCAACCTTGTTCTTCCTTCTAACTTGCAAACGAACTATCCTTGGAGCTACTCTCTCCTTACGACGTTTCCTTTGTGATAAAGACTAGTTATACTAAGAAACCAAAATGAAAAATGAACTAATGACTGGTTATAGTCATGTTCAGGAGCTTAACATAAACACCTTGCCCCTTAAATTTCCTTTTTCTCACGATCCTAGATACAGAGAAAACTCAAAGCTCTGCTGGAATTACTGAAGTTGCATTTACATATTTGACACTAGTCATAAATCTCCCTCCCTCAGCTGCTTATTCCTATCCACAAACGCCCATTCTGTTATAACAGCATCCGTTTCTGCAATCACATGGCAAACCACGTGGAAAATTAATTACTTTCACACAAATCAGTATCTCCATTCAGGCCATGGTGCAGTTTCAGAAACAAGATCAGTGGCTCAATACAACAGGCATAGAGCTGTGGGAACAAATGGTCCGGAGCAAGGCTACATGCACCAGCTTAAGCTAATAAACAAGCAGCTACAGGTTGATTCTTAGGCACTCTTCTAAAATATGCAAAGCTACAAAAGCATTGAAAGATGTGTACCATCAAGACGACCAGAGATGACTTACCCCCATCACCTTACCACGCTGTTCAACATCCTCCCACATGCAGTGAACGATATAGCGACACATGTATTTTCCTGTGCGACCCTCCTGCTTCATTCGTACCAGACACATCCTGCAAGAACACAAACAACAAATTCACAGCTTCTAGTTTTCCTTCAAATCTAAAAAGTAAATTAAATCTATTTCAGCTCATTTAAGATTCTCCTTACAGTATGTGTTTTTGTGATCAGGAAAAAAAACACACAAAGATTTTTCTGGTTTTGTTTGTTTTCTTTTTTTAAAATAAACTACCACGAACTTTTCTATTCTGTACTCAATTGCTGTATCTGCTGGATTTTGGCCAATCCACCTACAGAAGAGTGACAGTGGACTCTATTCTGTCTGATAGCACTGTAATCTAGCTAAACAGTACTGCAACCTGAATTCCTCAGTCTTAAGAACATATCACCCCTTGGAGCAGGAACAAATGTCTTGTCTAACCCTAGGCTACAAGCCAGCTGTAACTCAGCTTAGTACACTAAAGTGCTGTAAGAGTCCAAACTAGCCAAGCTGGGAAAGCTTAAGTAAGTTATAGACTTCACCCAAATTCACATTAGCAATGAACTAAATTATTTCAGCTACAGGGGTCTTTGGATACACATCCAACCATTTGGCAAAACCCCTACACAGAGCCCATGCTAGAAGGACTCACAAGTGCGTGCATCGTGGGATCTTAATGAGAACACCAGGTTGAGTTGGTTTACTTTTTTTTTTTTTAAGCATTAAAGCCACTTGAACTTCGCTGCTGCTGTTCTGTCTAAACAATAAATAATCAGAACAAAAATTGCCCAGAGAAGTTGTAGATGCCTCATCCCTGGAAGTGTTCAAGGCCAGGTTGGATGAGGCTTTGGGCAACCTGGTGTAGTGGAGGGTGTCCCTGCCCATGGCAGGGGGCTGGAACTGGATGATCTTTGAGGTCCCTTCCAACCCAAACCGTTCTGTGATTCTATGATCTCTAAACAGCGTGAACTGAAATACAGGCTAATCGCTCACTAAGCTAAGAGACCAGCCCCATCAGCAGTCCCACCTTCTCTACCTCATCAATCAGCTCTGCTCCGGTGTCACCTGTCAGAAGCGCCTGTCCAGGACTGACTGAGTTACTGTAGACAAGGCGACGCTCACACACTGGAGCAGAAAGAAGTCACAGCTTTGCACAGAGCCATGCTACGGGTGGGAAACCGCTCATGGGAAATTCTTCTCTCAGCTTATGTGAAAGCAACAGAGCGGAGCTCCTGGAGGTCACTTTGAAGCAGTGCATGTGCCACAAGAGTTAGGAAGTAAAAATTATCATTTTTCACCTGTTCATTTCTTCAGTGGACATAAGATCTGCACCTCCTTATGGGCATTAAAAGTATTTGGTGATCTGTGAATACCAGCCCAATAAGGAGAATTATAAACACGTGAAGCTTGTCTGCTGAGCTGAACCATAAATGCCAATCTTTATGATGGATTCTTTCTCATCTACTGATTAGTGAAGGAAAGATTTATTTTTTTTTAACCTGCAAAAGAAGCAAAACTTATTGGCAGCAATGAATCACAGAGACAAAACAGACGGAAGGTAACAAAAACTGCATTAGTCCAGTATTCTTTTTTCTGATTAGCACCACACGTTTAAGTACCATACAAGGGTCATTCAACTGAGACACCAAAATTGAAAGAAGAAAAGCCCATGGACCAGAATCCGACTTCTAGATGGAGAGCCTCTGAAAATGACACTGGCCATACAAGACAGAGCTCAGGCTCCAACACAAGCTGGGTGGAATGAGGTCAGAAGACTGGAGAGAGGGTCCAAGGTGTGACAAGTAGACCAATGATCAAAGGATGGAGTGACTGAGAGAATCTGGGCAGAGGGTGGGTAGAGAAGGGGAAGGGCAGCAGCCAGCAAAGGGAACGTTGGGAAGACTGTGGCAATTTCTGTCTCAGGAAACAGAGCTGGGTGAGCATTCCCAAGGTTTATATTGTGGCAGTGGTAACTCGGTGTCTGTCCAACAGCATCACTGTCCCAGCAAACAAATGTAATTGAGACGGTATCAAGAAACGAATCCTCATCTTGCTCACAGAAAGATGACAAAGCTTTCTGCTAAAACAGTGGTCCAGAACTCAGCCAACAGCTGTCCAGTTACCGCTCCTTCCACAAAAACAAACGCACAGAGCGCTGTCTGACTTCCACCAGTTTCAAAACCTTTGTTCCTCTCGTGCATTTACATAATCGGCCTGTATGAAAAAGTTAATTAGTACAAGTTATTATATCCCAAATTTTTACCAACTCTTAACAAGTCAAAGAGAAAAAGACTCACTTTAAAGGACTAATTTTGGGCTAAGAAAAGCATTTTTATACTTCTCTTGCTGAATATACAATTGGGGGAGTGGGAGAGTAAGAGTGCTTGGCAAGAAAACCTCCTCCCGAGCGTAAATACTGGTTCCTATCCAGTCTGCCTTCCGTGGTGGTGAAGCAGGAGAGAGCAGTGCACAGACCAACAGTGAACAACTGGTCACTGATGAGCAGGACTGGAGTGGTGCAGAGAGTAAAGCCTGCTACCCACGAAGCCTAAAAGGCAGCTCTGTGTTTGGATGCACAGTGCTGTCAGAGCTGTTCTGCAGCACCACGAGTGAGATCATGGAATTTTGCAGTTTATTTGAAAATTTGGTAGTTTGTTACGACACCTGCTGCTTGAGGTTTAAAAGACACAGACTCTTTAAAGACTATAAACCTTCTAATTAAATCAACGCAGTGTGAAACATTTTATCGTTTCACTACAGAATCTGTTCTGTAGTTTAGTCAAATACTGACTCATCTTCGTCAAACCATGAAAGCAAAATTATTCCAAACTATCTTTAGAAAGCTGACTACCTGACACTGGTTAGGTTGGAGAATTTACGCTGTGTTTAAGTCACGCAGAGAGATTAGGTTGGAAGAAAATTACATGAAAGGATGCCTGAAAAGGAACAGGAGCACCTACAACTCAGCCCATCTTACGCGAGATGTAGCAGTTTCACACGACAGCCTCAGCTGGCGGTAATCCCCCAGTGCGGACGGACTGGCG